TGTTTCTCCTGCCCTGACCGGCACGCGGACTTGCCGGACACGAATTAGCGGCGCTTATTGTCCCTGTGGGTGACGGGAAAGGGCTGCTATATCCGGCGTCCGGTATGTTTATCCGCAGAGGAGGTAGTGGTGCCCGCTGCTTCGGCGGAGAGGGCACACGAATGTTACTCTGTTCCTGCTCGTCAACAAGTGACTGGAACATCAGCTTTATCGTTGTACTTGGAAATCTGAATGTACATCTGAAACACCATTAAAGTGAATTATAAAGTAGTTATAAGATATTCGAAGCAGTATTATCATTAATTACATGAATTCAATGCTAATAAATATATTAACTCTCCATCATATAAAATTTTACGTTTTTTGTCAACAATTTGAATCTTTGAGCTTTAATGCCGATGTTTATATTGTTCCAAACTATATGAAAATCTAAAAAAATTTTTTGCATACTTATGAAAACTTTAACAAGTTTTTACTCATAAATCTCAGATTGTACTTATTACAGATTTAAATTTATCCACAAGAATACACAATCAAAATTGATGTTGTCGAAGTCCAAATCAGGGAGCGAAAAATTAATAATAGTGATAAATTAAAAAATAAATTTATCACTATTATTAATTCTAAGTCTAAAAAAATACACATCATTCATATTTCATTATAGTTCTAAATTGTTACATGACTTGTAATTATTAACATCAACAAGAATCTCTATTTGATCACATTTTTATACGTAACTTGTTCTTTTCAGGTAAACTTGTATTACTCCTTTTCTCTTTTTTTCTCCATATTGGACAGAAAAGAACGAAACAAACGATGTAACAAATTGAACTGAAAAGAACAGACCTAAAGACTAGTTGTTTCTGTTACAAGAATAATTGTCACTCTCAATGTTCGTCCATTTTTACATAATCATCTTTCATAATCGTCAGGGTCATGGCTACCTTTATCTATTATCTAAGGACTAAGAAGAAAGAGATGATGAACGAAAGTTCTTTATGAGCTTCATTTATAAAGAAGATAAAATTCAAGGTAACATACATAAATATTCCAAGATGATTAAACCTTTGATCCTAACTCACGGTACAGTAACGCGAGTTATAGCATGGCTAAGAAAAAGCAACACCCGGTGATGTTTAATACAAGAGAGAAAGCCGGCGGTCGCGCGCGTGAAACAATAATAAATAAATAAGTAAATAAATAACGTCCGCGAGGAGAGTGGAGACTCACGTCTTTGGCAGTTGATAGACAGGGGCGCCTTTGCGTTGAAATACCCCGTCGACGAATACGCCGTTCTTGCCGTTGCAGACCATGTAGAAAAATGGATGCTCGTAGAAGATCTCGAGGTGCCGGCGTGAGATAAAGCTGGAGTGGCCCATGTTAACGTCGACCTCACCCTTGCTGCTGTTGCGGCCGATCGTGATGCGTCGTTGCCTAACCATGTACTCGAACTCGCGAGCCTCGAGCCGCGCTATCGGCGCCCCGCTCGACTCCGGATTCCACTGCATCTTCGACGGGCTGGCCGGCGCCGACTTCAGTGCCAATAGGGCCCACGCGTCGCTCTCCTGGGTACGAGAGTACGTAGACATAGCACCGAGAGCGAACGAGCCGTGATGTATAAGCCGAGAGCAGGCACGGAAAAGAGAGCAAGACAACCGAGACGGGCGGGGAGAGGAGGGGAGGGAGGGGGAAGGGGAGAGAGAAAGAGAGAGAAGGAGACAGAGATGGCGCAAGACGAGACTCGAGAGAGCAACACGGATAGATAGCTGCTAGCTCGAAAGAGAGATAAATTCACGGACGTTCGCGCTGGTTCGCGCGATTCAGATACGCTAGATAAATAGATAAAACGCAACGGCGGAACGAACGGATGCGAGTCGAAATAAACCGGCAAAACAAGGAATACAGGCGTTTCTCAAGGCGATATACAAGTATACAGATGACGAAAATTAGACGGAGAGGGTATATGTACTGTGTGCGCGCTGTGATAGCGGAGAGGGGTGACGTTCGCGAACGGGATGGAAAGAGAGGGGGATGAAGAAAAACGACGGACAAGAAAATCGTAGCGCCCGGTCGAAGGAGAGATTTCAGCGGGCAAGACAAAATCGGGCGCGCGCGCGCATCTAATAAACGCGAGACAAAAGAGAAACAGAGAGAAAGAGAGAGAGAGAAAGAGAGGACACAGCACGAGCCGCGTATGAATACGCGAGTATACTCGTGTGAAATATGTGAAATATGGCCGGCTCTCCTCAACTCTCCTTTCTCCGCGCCGAGTTCGTTATTCGTGTATGTATGTGTGTGTGTGTGTGTGTGTGTGTGTGTATCAATATGGGATACGAAACGAATCGGCACGATGCCGCGATCTCTCTCTCTCTCTCTCTCTCTCTCTCTCTCTTCCTTTCTTTCACCATGCGCGCGCGCGCTCGTCGTGAGTACAAGCAGAATCAAGTCAAGCACCTTCTAAGTTCGCTCCTGTCTCCGCGGTCGTTCGAGTTCACTTCGCCTCCTCGTGTGTCACGGTCTTCGTTGATTCTCGATCTTTAGATTCGGCGAGAAACGAGGATAGCGGCGATAACGATGACAATGGTGACAGACAAACAGGCGAGCGGACACGCGCGCGCGCGCGTTCCCGGCGATGCGATGACGATACACGCGCGGCACAAATATTTTCTTCCTCTTGTTTACCCACAATCCGAAACGTGGACGGGTGCCACCACGTGACGCGGCAACCGCGAATCGGCGCCCGGTTCGAAAATCGAAAATCGAACGCCGGGGACTCGACTCGCGCGAGTCCCCCCCCTTCCCCCCCTCCAATTCCAACATCTTGACGTTCCTCTTCCCTCTGCGCACATCTCTTTCAAGGATTCCCGAAGGAGAATCGACTTGAGGAGAATTCCCGAGAATGTAAACGAGTCATGGTGATCAGAGATACGGGCTTCCTACAATGAGTCGTTAATGATAGATCAAAAGTAAAAATGAGTATATAATTATTTATGTGATATAATGTTATTTAAATGATGTAATAATAGATGAAATTTAACGATCTTGTTTGGAAAAATGACTGAAGAGCTCGGTTGAATTCATTCGTTTTTGCGCCAAGACGTCCTTACTTTGATTACGTTGCATGGAAGTGATTTAGTTTTCCTATTTTTCTAAAGTTTATACAAAATTTATCTCAAGATTTGGAAAATCTTAACTTAAATCAACGTTATCCAGTTATCATCATTGATCGAGGAGGAGAAAGGATAATAGAGTGATTATAGAACTATTATCATAGAGTGATTATAGAACTATTATTTATCAAAGTAGCCGCAAATCCTTTTATCTGAGCGAATGCCGACAATCGCGTCTTCCTGTTGGCTGCTTTCCTGTTGCGTTTTCTTATTGGTTAGATTCAACCAACTTTTTTGCTCTAAAGCCTGATTATATCAACATTACTTTAATTTTAGATGAGGCTTAAATTCTATCTCTGTCTCTTTTTCGTTTTTTGTTTTTTTTTAAACAAGACAGAGAGGGAGAGAGAGTTTCTTAAAGTCAAAATAACGATCGAGTCTCTATCATTACCCAGTAAACGAGAATGGATTGAAATGAATTGAAATGGATTCAGATTTTCAGAAATATTGAATCACGAATGTTAAAATGAATGCTTTTCAATCTTGAATGCATTTTTATTCATTTATAGGAATTGCATAGAGCATATCTCTATGTCTTTCAATCTAAAAATAACATTAGCTTTTTCTGTGTGCACAACACAAATTGTGAATACTGTTCAATTCAAAATTTTGAATAAGAAATGCAGTTTTTCGATCCAATTACATCTAATTGAATCTAATTGAATTCAATTGAATCCAATTAAATGAAAAAAAAGTATTCGCTATTTAAATACGCATTCGGATAGAAAAAAATTTCAATCTATTTTAATCCATTCTCGTTTGCTGGGTAAATAAGCGCTAAAGTAATTCTGTCATTGACAAATGCGATTGGTCAATTTTAATGGACTAATCGTCGGCTAATTAAAATTAATCGAAATTGATAACAGTCCAGAACTCTTCTAGCGATAACTGATAACTTTAATCTTCGATCAAAATCGCAAAATGTTTATTATAATTATTAATAAATTATTAATGAAAACACAATGCGTGGAAACATCAGTTTCATTTGACGATTGCAAACCAATCCGAATGAATCAAAAATATAGAAACGTGTCCAATGATAGCAAGATTCGCGAATACAAGGAATTAATTAATGTAGATGGCGTTGGAATCATTCAAATTGATCACTTAATAAAGCATTTGTTTTATGAAATGATAAGGCACTTTTATGTTGCGAATAATTTTTCATTGTTTACATTTTTGTGTAATTTTTAATGTGTAATTTTCATGTTTACTCTTGTTAAAGTGATTTCTTTATATTCCTTCAGAGGACAGCACTTCAAATGATACTCGTGAGTTGCGACTCGCAAACGTACTCGACCTTCGCGGATTTCATTTTCATGCATTTTCGTGACAGCGCGCAACTTTGTCGCGCAGTGTCACGCGAGGCTAGGCAAGGGACTTGGAGGGATTGATGTGGTGCAGATAGGGAACTGAGGGAACAGACAAGTGCGACAACAACGGGGAAAGCGCGTCGAAGAGTGGAGAAAGCCTTGTCAGCCCTGTGCTTTGTTTTATTATGATACATGTTCACGTTGTCGGAGATCCGAGTCCTGGTCGCGTAAATAAGAGAGTCCCCACGATCGTCGCTGATCGTTGCTGATCGTCGCGATCGAGATCCATGAGAGAATCGACGCGACGTACTTGTGCACCGCGGTACGATGCGATAGCTTTCACCGGCCAAGTGCCCGACGAGGTCGCCGTCGAGGTGACGACGGCGGTGCAGGTGGTGAAACTGGTGAAGGAGGATCCGTCCGCGTGCCGTGAATACGGGGGGAAGTGTGACAGCGGCAGGGTGAGCTTGGTCGCCCCGTTGGTCGCCTGCAGTATGCTCAGGGTCTGCGACAGGCGGATATTATGGCTGCGGGTGAGGCCAACACGGCGAAGCCTCGTCAGGAGAAACAGTACGACTATCTGCTCAAGTTCCTGCTGGTGGGAGACAGCGACGTCGGCAAGCAAGAGATCTTGAGCGGTCTCGAAGACGGTGCCGCCGAGTCGCCGTTCTGCAGCGGCAGCGGTAACACTTTTCACTCTCTCAATATCATAAAACTTTTCTCAATACATGTAAAACATTAGGCCTATTCTTTTCTTGCTCAACTTCTTGCATGGTTCATTTTTCCCTTTTTTTTTCATGTTGGAAATAAAAAGAAAAAATTAACTGGGATAAAAACATTGGTACTTATAATCGAACAACAGTAATGCTTTCCTATATTTCTTTCTTTTTTTCAAAGTCAGTTTAAGACTTGTGTTCATTTCTACCAGTGTAGATTAATTTTAATCCTGTTCACTCTTTATCTTTTTCTAATTCTTCAAACTGGAGGAAGATAAAAAGTAAATAAAATCAAGAATAAAGTTAATAAAATTTATAATAATAGAAATGGAGATTAGACCTGATCCTTTATTACTTTTTCAGCTTACAAGACTACCACTATTCTACTAGATGGAAAACGAGTCAAGTTACAATTATGGGATACATCAGGCCAAGGTAGATTCTGCACAATTATTCGATCATATTCCAGAGGTGCTCAAGGTATACTTTTGGTATATGACATTACCAACAAATGGTCCTTTGATGGCATCGATAGATGGCTGAAAGAAGTTGAAGAGGTCAGATTTTATTTGACGAATTAAAATTTCATCTGATTATTGGTCCAGTCTTCTGACAACATGCAAAAATATATCTTTACATGAAACTTTACAGCACGCTCCTGGCGTACCAAAAGTACTGGTTGGCAATCGTCTGCACTTGGCTTTCAAAAGGCAAGTGGGTGAACGAGATGCAGAGGCTTACGCAGCTAAGAATCGAATGGCCTTCTTTGAAGTCTCACCTCTCTGCGATTTCAACATCCGTGAGAGCTTCTCAGAGCTCTCTCGGATGGCATTACACAGGAATGGCATGGAAAGATTATGGCGATCCAATAAAGGTATCGATTAATGATTTCTATCAGAGATTTTTATCAGAGAAGATCAATATTCAATCTATTTTAAGACCGTTTTAAGAATGGTAATGCGAATTTATGATTTGCTTGTGACATCTTAAAACTATTTAAGACAGGTTTTAATATAAAAACCAGTATTAAATATGAATACTAAATATGAATAAAGATCCTAAGATCTAGGGATTAGAACAATAAGAATTTAATTTGCTTTTCAGTGCTCAGCCTGCAAGAACTGGCGTGCCGTGCGATAGTGGCGCGAACAACGGTTTACGGAATCGATCAACTGCCGTTGCCCAAGTCCATCAAATCGCACTTGAAATCATACGCGATGACGACCACATCCCAACTGCGCTACAACGGCAATCGCTCGTTGAGCTCGAGCAAGAGTCTGGGATCACATCATCGGAAGTTACGCTTCGTCGGGGTGGGTCACAATAATGGCGGACTGTCTACGCCCGGCAGCTCACCCGGCAGCATCACCGATTCCCGCACAAGTTGCGTCGGTCGCAATTCCTGCACAGTGTCTTGAGAGTGACAAAGGACAGAAATCAGAGTAGCGGTTACTTACAAAAGCGTCGCGCAGCAATCAGTGTTCTTCCTTCCCTTCTCCCTCTCCGTTTTATCGAGAATGCAAACGCGTTTACAATGTTGTTTCACAATTCATAGTAATTACTGTTAGTATGAAATAGTATAAATATATGAAATTCCACTTTTGTCACTTGCCAACATTGACGGGATATACTTGTTACGTTTATATCATGAGATACATTTCATATATATTTTTTCACACATCCGCGAGCCGCGCACACAGTTTTCACCATCCGAACGATTAACGAGCTTAAGGGAAACTAGCTGTCATGTATCCGTGCCATCTGTTGTACGAAATTAAGAGAGAGAGTCGCGGCACGTAAGCAAGGAAATCGCTTAAGCATTATCGAATGTTATCGATTGCAAAGCTCACACGAGTTTTCATCGTGTAAAGAGAACGTGTCAGAATTACGAAGATTTATAAGATACCGATATATCACGCGACATTACATTATACGACTCGAGTGTGCCCATACTTTAAAGCCCTTGTAAGCCGCTTTGTTTTTTTTTTTTTTTTTTTTTGGCCGTTGTTGGAAAAACATCCCTTTCCACAAACGTATCTCTCTGTGCGGAATGTTCTTTTTTTGATCATAAGCTTACAGGAGCAGCGAGTAATGAATTGAAAAGTACAAGTTCGCTAAGTCTACGGTGGTTGTGGTGTAGACTAATGATGATAGCATAAGTGTAGAAAGTTTTAGAGCAGCTAACTCGAGATATATTTAGCAACATATATAAATATATACATATATATATATATTTTCACTTGCTTACGACGCGAAAACCGTTTTATCGGAAACTACCGGTTACCGAGCGCGGAAGAGCTATATATTTTTTAAGAAGACGGTTTTATAAAGAGCAATAAAATTGACTCTTTCTACGGCACGAGTTTTTACCATTGCATTATGTTGATCGAGCGAGATCGGATAATTTCCTCATTTTTTTTATCTTTCTCTGTTATCTCTCTCCCTCGATAATATGATAATTGCAAATCGCGCAAAGCGATACGAACTTTATTCTCATCCGTATTCAATGAAATACGGACCTTCCCTTCCCCGAATACATTATTTAAAAGTATAGTCTTATTTTATGTTACCTAAATGTAAGTCACATATACATGTACAGTGTAAGATTGCAGGAGATGCGTTTGTGTGTAATATAGATAGATAGATAGATAGAAACACACTCGATCTCTAACAACATTGTCTGTAATAAATCACTCGATGCCAGGAAAGCACATGAGTTGTATATTTATATTACGTTAGAGTTAACTAAATTATATTCTGTGTATATAAAAAAAAGAACTATATTATAATATTGTTTTATATGAATATAACACGATGTGCTTACTTGTCTGTGAGATGTACTAAATAAACTTCACATTAATGCATTATACAGTGCATGTAATCGATAGATTTGAAAACGGACTTCCTATTTCGAAATACCAAATTTTCTTTAATAAAAGAGTTCACACGTTTTAATTATATATAAACATTTTGTTACAAGATTAATACTATCTTTCATGTATGAAGGAATATTCACTTAAAGGGGGCCACGTTTTAAGAAAGGAAAGAACGGAAAATGCCGTCCCGTTTGCCAAAATGCTTCTAATTTAATAGCGAAATACTAATTTTGTTGAGTAGAGAGCCTGTTTCATACATTTGCTGTATATAGTAAACACGTTCTAGCTTTTTTAACTACGGTTTAGTTACAGTTTATTAATCGATTTCTTAATAGAGTTTCTTATTAAATTTAATCACTGGAATTGGCAAAATTTTCTTTTTTTAGTAACTTGTAATACTACTTTCTTATTAATTTGAACATTGTAACTTACATCGATGTATTTCCATCTACACAGTAGTTCTATTTATAATAGCGAAACCTGATTTCAATTTATATTCATTTATAATTATGTTCCAGTTTAAAGCACATGCGATTGTATAATGAAAATAAATCGAATATTTATAAACCCATAGACGTCTTATAACAAATATTCAAACGATCCTTTCATAAATAATTGTGTTGTAAATGAATATCAATAAATGTCATACTTTCTATTGTATATTTTTTAAGCAAAAATTAAATTCAGTTAGCGTTGAAATTGACAAGTTTCGCAGTTTGCAAAAAAATTACTGAAAAAATAAAATTCACAGATATGATACGGTATGTTCATATATATGTAATATCGATATCAATAACTGATAATATAAAGATAATTCTTCTCAAAGAAATACAACAACATATAACTTATAGGGATATGACAACAGTAGAGCTTTTTTTTATAATAAGGGTCGACTTAATATAATTAACAATATCAGTGTACTCTTAAGGTATCTGATATATTAAATATATATCTTCTATACGTATATATATCTACGTTTTCCAATATCCAAAGTGACTGTTTGTTACATGAACTTATCGATTCGGTATGTGTTTTTATTATAAACAGTACATGACCGTTCTATCAGTTTGAGTATTTAGGTAAATTATTAATTAGCACAAATATAAAAAGAAAAACAAAATTATTAGTATTTAACAACACTAAATAAAAAGTAATATCGAAAATAATATATACCATTTGAAACATCAATATCACTGGTGATCGAGAACGGTTCCGTAAACGTCACACGCAAATGAGAGCTGTAGTATGCCAAAAATCTCGGATAAGCTACATGATTACTTCTATTACAGCTTAACTTATATACAAACGTTTAT